ATTCTGCTGGGAAGCCAAAGTGAGAAGGCCAAAACACACTACATACACTTAAGCCTTTCAAGATTTGCATTTGGTGTCACAATACTGTTGAGTACATTTACAGTGGTGATCTTTTCAGAAGGGGTTAAATATTTAATTTGTGTTGTGTTATTTAATAGTGAAGAATAATTTCTTCCCGCAGGGATTGCGTGTCTTTTGAATATTTTTTTTGCCAACACATGTAAAAGCCTAAACTTTTTACCTAAATTTTTCCACAGTCGGTCAACAAAGTAAGAAGATAAAATAAAATGAGATATCCCTCCGTTATCGAATGCCTAAGGTGCTCATACTTTTCCCCAAAAGAATGCCATTGTATGATTAAAAAAGAAGCAAAAATGTGAGAGAAAAAAATTAACAACAGAATAATCATAATTACTAATAAACGATGTTACAATAACAATTATTGTATTTAGTGTTGTTGCCCGTTGAAACATTTATTATAATACGTATGTATTGAAATATTTTCCGCCTTTTTTGTGCCACTCTCACTTCTTTCTTTTACACATTTTATTCATTTGGTAATTCACTTGTTTATGACTCCTTTCTGGAGTCAAGTTATTATGTTATACTTCTTGTACACTAAATTTTAGTCTGATGACTATTAAAAAACGGCATAATAATAATTCAAGCGAAGAGAAGAAGGTAATCATATAAAACAACATTGAAATAATTGAAAAATATGAAGACCGCGGAGAATATTTTTACTATTGGCATTATGCAGTGGCCTCATTTTTTGTCCACTACAATTTCTTTCATATAAGAGCTGTGCTTAGATACACATTCTTTCTTGTTCGCTTTATGTGTCTGTGGCGTCTCTCACACCTTTTGAAACATTCAACATATATTTAATGTCCAATTACAATTATTCGTTTTGAAACATCATTTTTAATTAAAATTTCGAACTTGAGAAGGGGAAGAGTTTTGATGGCAATTAAGGAGGTATATTTAGAATTAATACCGCACAAATATTTAAGGAATTAGAGTCGAGTATCAATAAAACGGCTATTGAACTGAACCCAGACGAAGGCCGCTAAGGTGATCAAAATGTGTGATGAAATCAAAATTTGCCTCGAATTAGCAGAAAATATTTTATAACGCGCACCCTAATCCCTAAATCTAAGCCCCAGTCGCTCCTAAACTTTGGTCCTCTCTGTGTGAGTGCGACTTGTGAAAATGTTTGAGGTATAGAGACGCCCCTACCCGAGACCCGTTCACGAGGGTTTGGGTGAAATTTTGCCAGCCAGTTCAACGACTCGCAAAATGCAATAAAAGCATTCAACGTACAACACAGAGAGTTTTGTGTGATATTGAAGAGGAGAGATGGGCAAAGATGAGAGAAAAAAAAGCGCACATACTAACTGGCAGCATCCAGAGTGAGAGGGCAAATCGTCTGGTATCAACCCCAAGTACGACCGAAATTGTAATAAAAGCGTCGAAATCAAAAGCTAAAATTCATGTCTCCACCCGAAAACCCTCGGCGCAGATGAAATTTTCCTTCATCGCTCTGCGAGAGAGATCAAACCCCTCGAAGAGATGATACTTTATTGTCTGGGTGTTTCTCGTGAGACACAAGGAGGGTTAGAATCATCGTATTTGGATATAATTCAGCACGCAAAACAGGGTGATAATTCCATAAAGATGATGAGAAGGGGATTCTCAGTTGAGAATGTCGGAGAGAAAACTCTGCAAATTTAATTACTAACTTTCCCTGCATTTTGCACGCTTTGATGGCAGAAGAGGCAGGAAAGGGTGTTGGAGAGGATAATGAGTTAGGGTTCTTTGCCTCACAAGGTTTGGTACATATTCGTTTCTCTTCAAATGTTGTATATTTATTGTAAAATCCATGAATTGTACAATGAATTCTTTCAGTCTCATAGCAATACTGAGCTATATTAAGTGAGAGATAGAATTTTCTATTACATTGAAGGGGACACAATAGCCAATAAATAAACATATTGTTTGCAACACAAAAGACTTGCTGGAGAGCTTTCACCCCTATTTTCCGTCCACTTCTTTTCCGTGACGGTCAATCGAACGACCACAAAGTGTGAATTTATTAATGCTCTGACGTATTCCCCAGTGTAATTCAATCGACTTGAAAAGCTCGTCGGGTGATATACAAGGCAATGGACAATTGTCCTTTTAACTCAATTACACATGCTCTAATCCCCACGTGTAAACATGCAAATTTAATTTTACTCTCTCTCTCACTCTCGCTTCTCCCTAGTAAAAACTCGTTTGTCTGACAAATTTTCCCGTGTGGTTGTGGAAAATATAAAAATTTCCACCCTCCTTACAATTCGACTGAGGAAATTGTCGCCAGGAGGCTTTTTTCATTCACCCTCGACTTTGCGGAAACTGTCTCCGTTCGTCGGAAGTATATTTTCTCACTTGTATGAGTGAGATTAATTACCCATGTCAAAGTAAAGAGGAATCCCGTACATTTTCTTATGAGAAAACTTAGTGAAATTACGTTCGAATGGGAGGAGCATACATGTGGGTGGAGCATCAAAGATTATACTCATTTATGAGGAATTTGTAGTGAAGAAATGCCGGCTTGTCTAGGTTGAAGTAAGCATATACTTAAAAAGAAACAGGATTGCAAGTTCGGAGGATAATTTTACCCTGGGGAGGTGAGTTAAAGAGATGGTTCTATTCTCCCTCTCAATTCGTTTTGCAGACTTGTTTTTGTTCAAGAGTCGTTCATCTGTGTGGATAAATTTCCAGTCTGCCAATTTTATCGTCTTATTTACCTTGTAGGACAAATATATAATTCAATTGAGCGATATTTAGTGCATAAAATCCACGAAATGGCCGCTGAGGCAGCAGATTTTGCGATGGAGATGTTGCGACAAGTTGTGGGATGTGTTTGTTGTTTCTTGTTGGGAAATTCCTTCTGGTCTTCCCACATTTTCACAGAGCTTTTTCAGCTCTCAGACTCCCCTTGTGGTTCCGGTGGCCTGAGTATAGACAATTGAGAATATGATAGGGTGGTGTGCTTTGGTGTTCTTTTTTCACAATGTCTGTTTATTTGTGTTTAGTGTCTGTTTCACTAACCTACGCCAACGATGCGCAGCGTTGGTGTAGCGCCCAGATGCGTCGCGACGCTCTTCCCGGAATCGTCCGCCATCTCGCTCTTGCCGCCCTCTTGGCGGGTGGGCGCAAGCGAGAGAGTGGCTCCGGGTGCTCCAACACAAATGGTTCAATATTACGAGGAGGCATACATGCCTCTATGTTTCGAATCATAATACATGCGCACAAATTATTCAGCCAACCGACATTGGGTTGAAAAGACACAAGGGTTGGTGACTTTGCCAGGGTGGGGCGAGAGTGTGGGGTTGAATTTTGAAGTGGATGGCGCGGTGTGGCGCCCTGGAAGTGCTTGTCTGATGCACACAACTCCACGGAAAATTCAACCTCTCCCCATGCAAAGCCAAAGGGGATGATGAGACCAGTTCGCTAGATATTGAATTACACATAGTCAACTACACTCTCACATCGTATTTACCTTTTGTCTCAGCATTTATGTGGATTAAAAAACAATTTCAATTTGTTTTCACCATCCCACGGCAATTTCACCCACCAATTTTGTCCACATGCAAACAATTTATGAGAAAATCACAAAAACGGCACAGAAGGGGTGGAAAAAATTGATTGTTGGGGGTATACTTGTGGCTGAAGAGATTCTTCAGCAAATGATGAAAATTTCATTTGATCACAACCCCACAATTTTATGCAAGAGGGGAGAGATTGCGCTTCTTGGCTGTACGAAGAATAATATTTTCCTTTTAGAAGAGGATTATCGATTGGGGAATACTTTCGTCTCACTTTTTTCGTACTTTCATGGCGCTTCTATCTCGAGCATCGTACTGAGCCTTTTGGTTTTGAATTAAGAGAAGCAGTGAGAAGGCTTTTATCTACAATTGAATTAAAAATAATTTTCCACTGGGAATTTGATAGTTAATTCTGCTTGAATTATTTGATGTTTGTCAAAGTTCAAAGCTCAAAATGGTTTATGTCTAATTTGGTGTACTTAAGAATATTTATGCTAACGGCTGTAGCGTAATCCCAATTTATTGGTAATATTTCACCTTATGGCTTTTGCAATAATCACGAGGATCATGGTTTATTTTTGGAAGCAATAGATGTCTTCTACAATGTCATGCGCGAATGGGAGAATTGTTTTAGCTGAGCGTTTGGATTGCGCATCGAGAGCAATAACTTATTATTTCAATACTCAATACACTTCGCAGATACAGTATTTAATTGAAAAGACCAACTTGGATCAGGTTTGATGCTGATCAGTGGCAAAGTCAGTGGATCGGAATGATCGTGGGAAAAGCGATCCACTACTGTGTCGTTTTGTGCGTTGGGTGGAGAAAATGGGCTGCGAATTGTGCAATGTGTGAGAAAGATGTTTGGTCTCCACCCAAGACAGGTTGCTCTGGATACATTTCAGTGAAAATTGCAGCCGGATGCGTGTGGAACACGCGCCAAAAGCACGGCCGATGTCTCTGAGTGAAGCCAGAAAAATGTGTGCTATTTCGTGGATTGCGAGTGAGCGCCATGGATCCGAAAATAGCCCAACTGGTCACGCAGAACGCTCAATTTAGACATTGAGCGAGCTATTCTCGTCCCAACAAGGACACCTGAGTTGTTGTCTTCTTGTTCACCTCATTCCTTGACTCTCTTGCTCTATTTTGTACATTTCTTTTCCCCTTTTGCGACAATTCATCTTTTTTTTTTTACCAAAATTCCATCCCAGTCTCGAGCACTATCTGTCGCACGTTTTTGCCTATACATCACCGTCTTGTGATGTTTTTCCTGAGCTGTGCTTTGCCACCACCTTGCATGGAGTTGCAATTTATGAGTTCGGATGACTGAGGAGAGACGGGCAAAATATGTCGTCAACATGATTTATTGCACAAGAGATGTCTTACTTGTCTCATTGCACTTTACAGGTTACCTGCTGACAAGAATTGAGGGCAAAATTGGATCACCTGAGAAGCCGCTATCAGACCTGGGACTCATCTCCTATCGATCATACTGGAAGGATGTTCTTCTTGATTATTTATGTTCACGCAGTGGCACTCAGTTGAGCATCAAAGACGTTTCACAGGTGAATTGAAACATGATCTTACTAATTAAGATTCTCTCTATTCAGTTACACTACAGTGGAAATTGTATTATACACATTTTAGTCTATCGATATTTTGCTCTCTGTTTATTTTTTTTCTCCACTCTGCGGCTACACCTTCTGCAGATAGGGAGAGAAAGAGAGACGCGTACATAAACCTTTATGGAGAGCAAGTCAGAAAGTTAGTCACGCAAATCCACTATAAAAGTTACATTGGGCAGAGGCCTAACATCAACCGACAATCTCACTTGAGATCACAATTATGCAGAGACCTTATCACCAACTATTCGATTATGCCTCCTCTCATTATCGTGCGTCATACATTTCATCAATCTCTGTCAATTTACCTCAAATTAGTCGACTTTGTTCCCCCAGAAAAATGGGAGGAAATGTCATATTTTTATATCAATCAAAAACCACAACATTCTCTGAATTGTTCTTTCCAAGAAATCTTTTCCTTGGATGGATGATTATTTGTATATGTACATGTTGAAGTGCAACGTCTAACGAGAGCCTCTTCGATTAATTTGAAATTGATCTGTCTTAGAGTTATTTCATGTGTTGAGCTTCTCTTACACTAGCAAAACCACACACAAGGTCTTCTAATCGAGTCCAAGATTTTTCAATTCGGGTCACATTTGAGGCCAACGCTTGGAAACTTCTTTAAAAGTCTCCGTCCTTGAGCACTCGGAGAAATTCTCGCTGTGTGTGCAATTCACTCACACGTAATGCCTTGACTGAATAGTGTCACAATTTGCTACAAACTAATAGATTGTCAATTCAATTGGCACCGGAAGGGTATTGAAGTGTTATGGCAAGGAATAAAAATTATCTAAATGAAGTGTACTTGTTGGGAGCGTCAACGGAAAAACCGCAGAGAAATTTGAATAATGAATATTGTATGCTACAATGTTGCATCAAATGCCTCTGCTTCATGCAAACTTTATCAGTGGAATACGATAAATTTGTTAAGTTAGTAGTGTGAGGCGTGGACTTTAGGAAGTCCACTTGGGAGGGAAAGTTGTATGATATATAGGCGGATTTCACCCCAGAATAATAGTGGAGAAATAAATAATTCATTAATAAAATTGCACGATAGTCAGGCTTGTTTTTTGCTTCTACCACAAAGAGGGTTGGCAGAAAAATCAGACTAAACACCTTGTAAAAATCATTAGGAACGTCACTGATTGATGATCATGATACGACACCAAATTGTGCTTGAAAAGGCAAAGTACTTGGGGAGTTCTGCGGCATGACTCCTCGCCCTCTCCCCATGCAGAGCAAAATGCTGTAAAAAAAACGACCGTGCGTAATGAATTTAAACAGCCGACATCCAATTACAATTTATCTGGCGATTGGAGGAGAATCTCCCTCTGCCCACTGACTCACCTTTTGGGAAGGAGTGTAATTGCTCTCGGACCCTCACGCTTGATCATATCCGCGATGGGTTATGATCGATAAAAGCGCGACGATGCATGGTTTATACAAATAATAATTATGCAAATTCACCTCATATGGAATACCTCCAGTATAGTGAGAAGCACTCATATTTTACATTATGTTATTTTAATTTTAATGAATTACACTTTTTTATCTGTTGCCTCGAATTGCGCATTCCTTTTTCTTTCCACACACACGGCGTGTGTCTTGTGAAGTTCACAACAGCGCGCGGCGCAATGAAGGGGTTTCCAACATGTGATCGATAGGGAAAAATCACACCAATTAAGAAGAGACTGCGCCGAGGAAATACCTCACGGAAGGGCATGGGAGAGATAAGGGATATCGAGTGCAATGGAAATGTGCGGCAATTTTAATTGGTCACTAACATTCAATCCATGCATATTTATCACATGATTGCCAACGATTGGCCAAGTGCAGAGCTTCTCCAAATGATGAATATCTCATTAGTCATACAGAGAGCATTCTGCACTCTCCCTTTTGCGGCATTTTCTTGACACAAACCACAATAATGATGATGTTGGCCCAACTGACATGTGAAATTGCCCTGCCTTCGTGGAAGGCGGCTCACTGATCTATAACAATTAACCAATGGATCCCATTTTTGTCGTTACAGGAAATGGCTATCAATTCATATGACATTGTGAGTACACTTCAGGCTCTCGGTATGATGAAGTACTGGAAGGGCAAGCATATTATTCTCAAAAAGCAGGTGCGTAATTGTCGCATTTTTACCGCATGTTTCGTATTCTTTTTCTGCTGAGTCTTCGCTCTGGCTCATTTTTCTGTATTTGCTGCTCTCTGTAGATGTCTTTTGGCTGCTTTTCTTTCTTTTTGCTTAATATGGGTCGCTTTTTGCACCATGGGAATATTAGGGGCTTGTCACGAATTGGGCAAAGTGATTATTCAGCCAGTCCAACACACTAATATGTACAATATTCAGCGACATAACGAACCCCTGAATCTTCCCATCTCTAAACATGGAATATATTTTACTCAATTGCATATCATTTGGATAGAGTTTTTTTTAGGCACTTCACACTCTCGATCTCTCACACCTCTTTGCCCATCGAATTGTAATTGGCATGAAATTCTCCATGAAAAGAACAATGCTGAAAAACACATTTCTTGAGTTGGAAAGAGAAGGCGAGGCAAGAATTAATGAAATACTTGACTCAATTTTTGCAACATTGTATTTATCCATTGGGGAAGATTTCACGCCATTACTCAATTTTTTTGTCTACACTTGAGCTTCAAGAGTGAAATATTTTCAAGAATAAATTCAACACGTACCTTTCTTTGATCTCTTCAGGGAACTTTTTATGCAGAAATTGAGATTACAGTTTGGTTTTTCAGGATGATTTTCCCACCAACACAGAGGAATTCTCCTGCCAAAGTGACTTTCGGCGACTTTTGCCGATAAACACTGCCAGAATAACTCTATATAAATCCTCTGGCGACTGGAAGAGATAATAATGTTGAGAGTGAGATAGAGAGAGAGAAGCTTTGTGGATTTTTGTAATCTAATGAGATGCCAAATTTTAGAATCTCAAAGAATTACACTTGCAGATACGGCGAATTCCGCTGGCAAGATATATCAATTAATAACAATTGTATGACTTCTCTTGAGGGGCGGTGATGCAGGAGAATAATTCAATATGGGCATATTTAATTAGGTTTGGGGAGGGTTTAATTGGTCAAGAGGCAATAAAACCACAGTGTCTCAGCTCTTTATCTCCTCCCCGCCGCCTCTTGTGCGCCAGCAGTTTGGATATGGGCAAAAATATAAAGTTGAGAGTCGAAGAAGAAGTGTCTGACGGTGTTGGTTTTGTGGATTATCATGATTTATGTTTGTGGAGCACGCTTTCAAGCATTTATAGCATTAATTAATACTAATAGGTGTTGCTTTATTTAATTGGCTTTCAAATGTATGTATTTCCAATGTGTATTTCACCTTCTTTCTTTCACCTTCCACAATTCCACCTCTTATTGCCACCGAAGAGTCCATCCAAAATGCATACTATGTGAATGCTGCAATAAGGGCGCCTTGGTGAAGAATGACGCCTTCGGGCGCCTAGTCATATTGCAAAATTAATGAGCATTGGCCGAAAAATGCGCTCCCATTTTCCAAAGTAATCAAACCCGTCAATTTTGACTTCCTGCTGTTGGCCTAGGGTGAAATTGCCGAAGAACCAGAAGTAAATTGAGCGTACTCACAAAAAAATCGCAATAAATTTGCTCCCTTATTTGAACAGTTTTCCGTGAAATCTGCATTATCTTGTGTACGAAAAGTTCACAAATATAGCAATTGATGGTTTGCAACAGTTTTACACGATAAAGAATCGTTAAAACTACAGAATGGTCGCAGAAATCCCAAGAAAACACACTTTGGCGTGACCTTTTTGCTCTGAGGGAGCGATTTTTTTTCTCTCAAAATTAGTCTGACAACTCAAAGTTGCTTTTTTTCATTTGAACCCTCTCACAAGAGTGTGCACAAAGCAAAATTCTCAAGTCTTATTTGTTTTTCTTCCTACAGTTTCACATGCACATTTTTCACTCCTTAAATTAGTGACTCTCCTTAAATTAGTGGCGTATCTGAGGTAGCATTATTCTCCTTCACTGTCTATATTAAATATGCGATGCATATCAAGCTAAATTGGTTAATTTATGAATTTTGCGAAAATAACTTCTTTAATTTCTGCATTGAAACATTAAGAAAGAAAACAAATAAAATTATCTTTAGACAGTTCATTATTTAGGTGTTTCCTTCCATTCTAGATTCCCAAGAATATATCTTCTTACGGTATGCAATATCATCTTGTTCTTTTCTTTTGCCCAATTTTTCACCACACTCTGTGGGTGCCAAATAGCAATGTGTAAAAACTCACATTTGGGGGATAAAATATGCGGGACACAATAAGAAATGAGCCCAAAAGTGTAGAACAAATTATAGCTCAATTTAAATTGCTATACTAAAGGCTTTTGTCGTGGCAATTTGTCTTTTATTGCCTCAAGGAATTCCACTTCCTCCTCTCTTGCCGCCCATCTCTTCTGGGTGGGCATATTTTTGGGGTGTTTGCAGCGAAGGAGTCCCTCTCCTCTGCTCATTGTCTTCCACCAAACCTGTCTCTGTCACCCTTTAAGAGGCACAGTTTCTCACATCATCAACTTAAGAGCTTAATCATTTGTGACACCTCAAACGGGTGCCAAGCGGCTCGATTCCCGTTCCTTTTTGGCGCAACAAATGGGATTTTATCACCTGTACTCTTGTCATGAAGCCTCTTCATTCCCTTTTCTGCGTTTTTACGTCACACAGAGACTCACGCACAGTTTCAGATAATTTCATTTTAAAAGGTGCATTCAAATGCAAAGACAGAGAGAGTTACATGATGTAAATGTAGTTTTTGAGAGCAAAAGCTGTTGTATTCTGTAAATAATTTATTTAATCTCATTTTCAAGATTCTTAATGGATTTTATTGGTGAAAAACCCTGTTTTTTTGGATCTCCTAATTTCCCAGTACACTATAATTGCTATGCAAAAAACTATAGTTTTTCTTCTGTGTGAAAAAATTAAGCCACTGAATTTGGTGTAAATAGTTTGGCATACACTTTTGAACAAATATTTGTAAAATATGCACAAGCAAAACACAAGTATGCAGATTCAGTGGCTTCGCCTAGGAATTCGTCTGTATTCCGCATAGAGAAAGATCGCTTCCGCTGAGGCAAAACCAAAAATCGTCTCACCTAAACATCGTGAGACGTTTCCGCCGTGTGCGATGCGTCAAAGTTCCCACCATCTCAAAGTTTCTTGCACTCTGCCAAGCCTACTGTTGAGGAAGTTGAGTGTATGGCGTGCTGGGAAGTGGACTCAATTATGGGGACAAACACGTGCCGTCAGTTGCAGAGGAGAAATCAACGGTTCGCGTCCGAATAGACAGGGTGAAGGAAAGATGAGAATGGGACATTGTGTCTGATAATTGCACTTTTTGTATGCCACATATGAATGTTTTGCTTGATAAGTATTCTCTTTGCTGCCTTTGAAATTGCATGCTTTGTGTCATTTTGTCTCGCACGTAAATTGGATTTGAGATTTTTCGCGCAAAATTTTTCGGCCGCGCTGGTGGAGGAGATTGATTTGAAGAGGGACTGAAGGAGGGGGAAAGAGGTCGGTTTAGTAATAGCCCATCAATATCAATTGAATTTGATTTCGCCAGGATGTCCTGGATGATTACGCTGAGAGAGTGAAACGACGCGGAAATGTATTAAAAATCGATCCGGAGTGTCTTCGGTGGACACCATTTGTGTCACCAACACTCACCGGACCGACGTCCTAGCGCTCGGCCACAACTGCCAGCTCAGCCGCAAATGCATCCAGCCATTCGGCTACATCGGTAATTGCATCGTCCACGGCTAATTCTTTCTCACTCTACTACTACTACTCCACCAATGGAGGTCGTCTGCCACCCACTGAGAACAGTAAATCTTCCACAAAGTAGGAGAGAGGCAACCCGAAGTTGGCCATTGCCGCAGAGGAGCAAATTGTGCGATGTTCGGTGTGAGGTATGAATATCAATTGATCGTCTGAGACATACCTGAAAAGAAAAGATATTCTCTCGTTTTTTGAGATCGTATTTAAGTTTAGCCTTAGTCATTTTCTCTTTTAACTTAAGGACAAGAAGATTTCTTCTTAAGCATTGTAATTAGGCATATTGTGTAGGCAGAAGTTACACATATTTCATTTTGTTTAAGTAGTTCAGTAAGTTATTTCTGGATTACAAAATGACAGTAATATTCATAATATATATTATTTAGAAATAAATAGTTGCAGTGCCAACTAATTTGTAAGAATGGTAAGAAGTGTTTAAGCATAACTTTTACACGGTTGTCACGTTAAAAATTGTATTAAACTTCAAGAGATCACACATTATTTATTTATTTTTTTTTTATATATTTCTTCTCTTTTTACATCGTCACATTTCATTCTTGATATTGTAAGAGTGTTTTATATGTAATTGCAGTCAGTTGAAAAATCATTACTTATTCAAGAGATAATAGAGAAAATAAGCATACAACCAGTGACATTTTCTTTTGCCAGTATAACTCCTGAACAACCCGACGAAGTGCACGGAAAACACTGTCAAGTGAAATGGGAATTTATGGAGTGTTTCCATCTTCTCGACAAATCGAATAATGTTTTTAAATTAATACTTTTTCACATTTAATTTCGCATGAATTGAAAATGTGTCGCATTCTTTCCTGCTTTTTTTTCCTCCCTTCACAATGATTTAATTCCCTCTTGCGAGCTTCCAAGTTGCTCTCGACACTTTTTCCGTCCCTCACCATCGATTGGCGCTCTCGGGGTGCTTCGCCTCTCGTCTGCCCACCACCCACATCGTATATCACAGCATTTGGAGCGGGGCGCACTCCCGGACCCACCAGAAGCCCCACTATCGGGACTCGTGTGTTGATGGGGCGAAATGAGCACGGAATTCTCATAGGATTTCATCTCTGGTTACCAGGCAACCGTGCAGACGACACGCGATTTCCTTTCCGCCTGTGCAATGCCGAGCGATAGGAGTTCAGGAGTGCGCCGCCACGGAGAAGGAAGTTGCATGGGGTAAATCCCGCTGGCGCGTCTTAAGACATGGCATGGGTGAGCATCCGCCACCCATCTCCTGTCGACGGCGCGGCTCTGGGCCCTGCAACTGAGACAGGAGTGATGTCTTCTCGTCAATAATGAGATTTCCCGCTTTTCCTATCCCGCATACTCAGTCGCGCTTACGTGTAGACTTCAAGGGACTCAAGAGAGTCTAGTCTGTTCCTCAGACGCCCCTTGCGGCTCATGCTTTCCCATCGTCGCTTCTTTTTTCTACCGTGGGTATTGTGCAGAATGAAGGTATTATACTTCCTCCTCACAACTGTATTGCACTTCCGAATAAATATCCACCCTTTGCTCAGGCGCCTCAGTCCGGTCCATCGCGAGGCCATTACCCTCGCCAGTTTCGATAACAATAGCCATGAATTATTGCAACGTGCTAAAATCACAGTTTGAACAAAAATCCCTCCACCGTCTGTTGGCGAATTTTATGGGTGAAAAATTGAAACCCTCTCGCCAAATTGCAAACCCCCTCGCAGACACTTTCAAATGCAGCACCAAACTCACCCATTCGCCAAAGCAATAAACTCTGTCCCTGTCTGTCTGTCGTCTGGAACTCTCGAGGACTCTCCATTTTATTAATCAGTTGAGCCACCGTGTTGTGAAACACCGATCATCAGTCTTGTCCGCGTCCTTGGACAATGTGAAAAAAGAGCGAGAGGGGAAACCCGTGCATCTCACATCAATTTTCCAATTGGAAATCAGCATTTTGCCAACTATTCAACTGTAAATATCAGCAGACGAATCACAAAGTCAAATAACATCTCTCCCTCAATACTAAATGCGCTCTTTGCCGAGACATTTTTCGAGGCATTCGAAAACAAAATTACAGTCATTATAGATTAGGGATAAACGGCAGTCGTGTTTCACTTCAGATTATATGAAAGTGATTATCTTTCAGGCTCTAATGCACTCTAAATGATCACATTTAGGCTCATATTGTGGATGAACGGCTGTTTAATGCTAATTTTGAGGCCCGTCTTAATGATAGTATTTGTGGTAGAAACAATTTGTGTGATTTTTTTTCTATGCAAAATACGTTGCGAATCTACTTTTGCCAACTGTTATGATTTCTAAACCTATAGTATTGTTTAAGAGCAGCAAAAAGGGTGCATGCATTTGATGCAAAATATCTATGAATTGCTCTCGCTGTTGCAACATCAACTCGGCATCGTGATTCTTAACGGTCAGACTGAGGGAGATTTTCGCGAAAAGTGGCGAGAAAGAGGGTGTTACCAGTAAATGGCTTTTAAATAAGTATAGAAATATGCTGTATCTTCCAACTGGCATTTCCGGCGGCCAAAAAAGTGAGTCGAACTGAGAGAGTGTATTTTCCTGCGCTGTTGACTCCTCTCTTTTTTCCATCATGCCACCGCCGCCCCCTCTGGGCCCCCGCCCGCCCCGTCCCTTGGCTCGCAAGTGCTGAGAAGGCACGTCTATAGAAAGAAGCCACAAACTGGCGATGCCGACGATTATTTCTGAGAATTAGCAAATTAAATTTCAACGCGAGACACCGTCGATGATTCATTCCAACATTCCCAGTCAGTGCAAAATCCAATAAATTTTATACATACATTGGCTCTCTGGCCGCTTCACTCTCGTCGGCGAATCACGACACACACATATTGGCGACGAAAATGATGCCCAAGATTCTCAAGAGCATCGCGCACGAGATGAAAACCAAGTGCCTCTCCTGCATCTTTGTTCCACCAGCAGACACTGACGTCAACCACAGACATAAAGTGCGTCGTCTATCGCCCAAGAATCCCATTTCTTGAAAATTCCACGAATTAATTTCTGCCAACTCTTTTTTCCCACCACCGTGCGATCACCCAAAATCCACCGACAGTCGCGAAAAGTTCGCATGCGAGACGCGAGAGGTGGAGGCATCGCCATCAGGCCATATTTTGGGGATTAATGGGGGACTGCGATGGTGGGGCGCCAAAAAAAAAAACGGTTTCATTCACTGGAAATGCGCCTCCACAGAATTCCTCAAAAATTATTTCATAAAACCGCATTAATTGAGGATTGCTTCCATGAAAAGACATGATCACGTTCACCTTGCGCGCGCTGGGAGAATTTCCTTAATTCTCTCGGCGTCTCCAGCTTAAATTGCTATGATTAAAAAGATGATTTTAGTAGACTGAGAGGATCAAGAAACTGTCTTAAGAGGAGTAAATGTAATTTGGGTGCAGAAAATGCACGTTTTTTTCACATTTTTCTGCAATGTTCGTCATATCTGACACAGAAAACTATGATTATACATTTATAATCCGCGAAACACGGAGTCAAGTCTACAAATTTATTCAAGCTATAGATAACTTAATTAGCAGACTAAAAATCTCACCAAAATCGAGCCTCGAATTTGTGGCTAAGTTTTTGCCCCACTCTTTTCATCTCCTGAATAACCACGAGAAACTTTCACAAAACTCTTATAATGACAACTGGGAACATGTTCGCAACTCCCTGTCGGATGGATTGATGTGATACAAAGCGAAGCAGAAGTGAATTGAAGAGAATATCAAAAGAAATATGCCATAAAATTTCATGCATGAACTTTAGAAGACAATTCGCACTAATCAAATACAAATTTAAACCATAAAAATCATCATGAAAAGTGATGCCCGGTGCGAAGCGGCAGAAAGTGTTGCAGGTGATCACATTGTGAGCAGAACATAAATTCCAGCATTGGGAGATAAATGAATTTGGACTGCTCGCGACATTCGCGCACATCAAGACAATAAGGGCAAGAAGAGGGGACATTATCATTTTAAGAGCTCATAATAAAATATTTATCATCTCACCAGGGAGCGAATATGCACTTGCTAAATACCTCAGACACACATGATAAACATTTTTGCTCGCCTCTTAATGTCCCCACATTTTTAGGTGCCTTTTTTTCATCTGTAATTTATGTCCAATTCCGCGAGAGATCAGAACAGCATATTTTCGATCGATGGTGTTGCCATTAAAGTTGCTCAATTAATTGTTTATGTTTTACATCCCATCAAAGCTGCGCAGTTCTGGAAATACCGTGACATGACTGTCAAGAAGCACTTACTTGAAAATCAAGAGGTTATCAATTTGCAAGATCCAAAAAAATCATTTCAATAATTAATTACGTTAAGAGAAATATTGCTGATCGCTTCGTGAGCTGGCAAAACTGTATTTCTTCCCCGGTCTTGAAGTAATCCGAAGCAGTTAAGTAATTACCGTAAATATACAAATGTTTATTGATGTATTAAGATATGATGGAAATTGAAGTGGTTCACGTTGGCTTTAACAGCTATACAAAACTTATCTTAAGCATAGTCTTTTTTTCCCTACCCGGGTGAATATATCAGGAATAAATTCATTTTTATGATGCTCAACAGTTTTTTACGATCTTCTTTCACCATTGCGACATCCCTCTATCTTAACACAAAATTACCATGCAAGGCAGATAGTTATTGCATACTTTATCTCTCGCTTATACATTAGAAATAAGTGAATTGGAATGTGGGAGTCCACACTCACCACAATACTCTCAAGTTAAATCTCCTTGGGGATCAAAATTAATTCCAGGCTCTCTCCATTCAGCCACTTTTAATTGCTCGAGAGCAAAATTCTCCGAATTGATTACCTTGCGAAATAAATCTTGCATTTCACAACTGCGCATTAGATCCTTGAGCTGAAAGATTCTCGAGATTGTCTCAGTGTTTGCAATTTCCTTCAAGTATTGAATCATTACATGCAATTTTCTCCGTGGCATTTCTCTCAACTATCGTGTGGGTGTGGATTCCAAGGCTGTTGCGTAGAAGAAAATCCTCTGCTTTTGCCAAAAAAAAGAAGAGAGTCACGGGAAATTTTCCAAATAATGTAGATTTTCACCTTGGGAGTTAATTAATAAAATTACAATACGAAATCTGGAACATAGCACGGTGTTCTTGCAGAGTTTATTACACTCTCTGTGTGTGGATATTATGGGCAATATTTGGCGCTGAATGGGTGTGAGGGGGACAAAGAAGTGGAGGTAAAGTGGCGAGAAAAGAGCAACTCACGCGAATTTTCATTTTTTGTGAGTGGTCTGTGCCTCTCTCTCTCTCCCTGTCTCCCTCTCGTTTCTATACAGCATTAAATACACAAAAAGTATAATGGATGAAAATAAAAATGAAGTAAGTAAATTACTCAACGATGATTGCTTGCAGTTCCACGACTTATCGGGGTTGATTGAATAAAAATTTAGCTGTGTCGTGCTCACTATATAATATTTGTATACATATCCCGGATGGAAGGAGCATTGGCTTTTTGGGTGCGCGCCTTTTTCCAGCACAGCAGCTCAAAGGCGGACGATTGGGAGGCGAAAAGGGAGGCCAAACTGCGCAGCAGCCCAAGGGAAATTATGCACCTCTCCTTTGATATGTTAAGAA